GAGTGGGGAGGACAGGCCCTGAGCATCCCCGCCACCTGGGCGCAGAGTGGGGAGGACAGGCCCTGAGCATCCCCGCCACCTGGGTGCAGAATGTAGGGGAGGACAGGCCCCGAGCAGTGGCCGCCACCTGGGTGCAGAGTGGGGAGGACAGGCCCCGAGCAGTGGCCGCCACCTGGGCGTAGAGTGTAGGGGAGGACAGGCCCCGAGCAGTGGCCGCCACCTGGGTGCAGAGTGGGGAGGACAGGCCCCGAGCAGTGGCCGCCACCTGGGCGTAGAGTGTAGGGGAGGACAGTCCCCGAGCAGTGGCCACAGCCGTCCCAGGAGCAGGCAAGGTCGTCGTTCGCCAGTTGAGTCTCACCAGGTGTTGGTGCCTCGTCTGTAAAAGCGGCTGTTACTTGTCCGTAATCTGCTTCTTCTAGACCGTGAGGGTTTGGGACCCAAAAAGGGAAGAGCAGACTGTCTGGGGGGACCCTTTGGGCATTCTGCACGTCTGTCAGCATGTTCAACCTGAAAAATGCTTCTTACTCCCTTTTCTGCTGTAGCTTAGCTCCAGCGCACAGCTTTCCTTTTGTTTGAGAGCCTGACAGTAATTTGTTTTATCTTTGCCTTTCTGTAGGTGGACCCAAGAGCCATATCAGTGCTAGCAAAATGGCAGAATTCGTATAGCATCAAAGTTGTCCTGCAAGAGCTTCGGCGCCTAATGATGTCTAAAGAAAATATGAAACTCCCTCAGCCACCTGAAGGACAGTGTTACAGCAATTAATCAAAAAGAAAAACCACAGGCCCTCCCCTGCCCCCCATTCGATTTAAGCAGTCTTCATTTTCCACAGTAGTAAATTTTCTAGATTCGTCTTGTAGACCTCAAAGTACTGGAAAGAAAGCTCCCATTCAAAGGCAGTTTATCTTAAGATACTGTAAATGATACTAATTTTTTTGTCCATTTGAAATATATAAGTTGTGCTATAACAAATCATCCTGTCAAGTGTAACCACTGTCCACATAGTTGAACTTCTGGGATCAAGAAAGTTATATTTAAATTGATTCCCATCCTAACTGGTGGGGCACATCTAACTCAACTGTGAAAAGACACATCACACAATCACCTTGCTGCTGATTCCATGGCCTGGGGTCTCTGCCTTCTCCCCCTCCCCTCCCCCTCCCCGCAACAGCCCTCCAGCTAGGGGTGGCTTCTTAGAGTAGACGTGAAGGCCTCAGGTCACAGCCTGCGGGGCACTGCTGATGTGCAGGGCGCTCTTTCCGCACCCCTGGTCTCTCTGAGTCTTAAGTGACGCCCCCTTCCAAGCCATCAATCCTCCTCCCCCCCCCTCCACTGCCGCCCGTGGCCGAGGCATAGATTGTAGCCCTCTGCTCCCCTCTGAGATCGGCCTTTGGTGAGGACTTCAGGGCTTCCCCATATCTTCTCCCCCCACCGTAATCGAGGGGTGCTGCCTTTTCCTTCCTCCTCCTCAAGTCCCTTTCTGCACCGCCACCCAGCACTTCCATGACGCTTCCTTGCTTTGGCCAGAAGCCATCAGGTAAGGTTGGAGAGTCTCTGACCTCCCATCATTTAGTCTTGGAACCACAGTTTATTTACTCTCACCAGCCTGGGAAATGAATATTGGGTTCTCAGCCTTGCCACCCTCTGCTGTCCCCATCAGCAGATGCGTTTCTTTAGCTCAGGTTTCGATAAGGTGAAAAGAACAGTCACCGGGGTTACTCAGACCTGCAGCTCGCGACCTCCTTGGTGGTTAAACTTGGAGAAAGGCCACAGAAGACACTTGTAAGCACACACAATCCCTCTGAATCAGTTGTTTTCTTTTCCTGTAAAGGCTTTGGCTTTTTAAAATCGAAGTTTTAAACAGGGCTCTCACTGGGTCATCCTTTCAGTCCATTCGGGTCTAGTTTGGAAGCTGACAACTGGAACAAAAAGAACCTTGAATTCGGTGCATACTTTGGTTTTGGTGCTGCTGCTTCTCCCGGTCCTCAGCAGGGATTACGAAAGAACTTGGTGTGCACGGCAGATCCCCGAAATTCCTGGCGAATCGCTGCGTTTTTCCACTTTTCTGTTCAGGACCACTAAATGCTGAGATGTGGATGCATACGGAAATAAAATCAATTCATTGTGTTCCAAGGGTTTTTTTTTTTTTTTTTTTTTTTTTTTTAGTGTCTGTGTAAAACCACCTTTTGAAGCAGCAACTATCAAGTCTGAAAAGCAATTGGTGTTTCCATTAATCTTTTTCTGGGGGAAACCTTAGTTCTAAGGGTTTAACATCCTGTAAGTAAAGTTTAACATAACAGTATTCTATAAGCAGCCTTTTTATTGTCAGACCATTGCCTGATTTTAATATAATAAAAAGAAGTGTGCGTTAATATGTAAGAAGTTTAATGTCTTAGATGCTTTGGTATTCAATTTGACTTCTAGAAGCAGGGGTTGGGGAACTTTTTCTACAGTGGGTCCAAGTTAGTAAACATTTAGGCTTTCGTTTTTCCTTCTGGCTTGTGAGATCTTCGATTGCACCCAGGCCCTCAGCAGTGAGAGCAGAGTCCTAGCCCTCGACAGCCAGAGAATCCCCAGCTGTTTAAGCTTGAGTGGCCAAGAGGCAAAAGCAGAGAAATTATGTGCTGAGTTTATTGAGCGAGAAAACAAAATTTCCACAATTTTTGGATGAAATTGAAAACATTATCGAGTACAGTTCTTTGTAATGTTAACAGATACACTGAGAAAGAATGGAATGCTTTTTTAGGGGATAACATGTACTTGGGATTCAAACTTAATATTCCCTGTTACCAGATCAATTGCAGATGCTCCTCTGTATAGATCGTTCCTCTTTTGAGGGGCCAGACAGAACTGGGCAGTGGACCGGATCTGGCCCATGGACCATAGTTTGCCAACCCCTGTCTTAAAAAACAAGCAAAAGAGGGGTGGGATTTTCCTTTAGATTTAAAATGTTGCTGTGTGACACTCAAGCTATTAAGTCTCCGCTAGTAACAGTTATTAGTACTTAGTAGCTGGATTTAGTTGTCTGTTGGCTGGAAAAGAAGAACCCAGTTTTCCCATGTGTTTCTAGCATTTGAAACAAGAATTCTGCGCGGATGGACAGTGTGTCTGCCGTCTACTGTGTGAGGGGTGAGGACGTGTCCCTGGCCATCTTGACTCAAAATTTGCACTCCCTGCTGTGGTCCCAGCCACCAGCAGGCACCACCCGGGTGTCTGCGCCAGGAGCCAGGTCGTTGTTGGGGCCAGAGCAGACGTCACAGTCTGACTGCTTGGAGGGAGTCGGGTTCGCAGCAGGCCACCTTCCAGAAAAGGCTACCAGACTTTCTGCTAAAGGTCCTCATGGGCCCGTCCTCTGGAGCGAGCTGCTGCCTCAAGCTCCCCTGAGAGGGGGCCGGGCCAGGGACGTCTGTGGACTCCACCCTCAGTCAGCTCCCAAGCGGGAGAGCAGGGGGCTTCTAAAACTGCTTCAGAACGCTGCCGGGACACCCCGAAGCAGATTCAGGGCCAAGTCTATAAGTGCGGTGACCTCCAGGCAGGAAAGCGGAGACTCCGCACCTGGTACCTTGGTGGCCACGGGGAACTGGGCCTAGAACTTGGGGACTCACCTGGGACCTCCTGTGACAACCGCCAGTCTCCGGTCCGTGGCTCCGTCCCACAGTCCTGCGATTTGCTCCTCGTCTTGACCGGTGCATTCACAGGCGGTCTCAAGCTTGAGGCCTACACGTAGGGCAGAGAGGAAGCGCTCTTCCGAGGTGCAGAGAGCACTTCTTTAGCGGGGTGGGCCCCGATCCACAGCCTTGTGGGAGGGCAGCGCCCTTGAGCTGCTCCTCTGCTGAGATGGCTCTGGGACCCCTGGGTGGGGGTGGGTGGGGGGCACCGGCGCCCAGCTGCGTCCAGCTGTGGAGCAGCGGCAAGGGTGGTGTCGGGTCAGCCCCGGCCCTGCCGAGGGCCCGCCCCTCTGGCTGCCGGCCAGCCGGTCCCTGCTGGCCTCTTGCCCTCCCCACCCCCTCACCCACGTGGCCAAGTGGACGCTCGGTCCTCGGCCCTTCCCTGGCCTACACCTGCTGCACAGAACCCTGCGAAGGACTCGGTCTTGATGTCAGGGATTCGAGCAGAGAACGTTCTGCGGGAGGGCAGCTTGTGAGAGCATCTCTGCTTTCCGTTGAGAGGAGGAAGATGCTAGGGTGGGCTGCGTGGGCCGCCCGCGGCTCTGGGCTACGGGGCGACAACCGGAGGCGCCCCCAAAGGCCTCCTCCTCGGGGTACCATGAAGTTACCTGCTGCCAGCACAGCGGCGGCGGCAGCCTTGCAAGAGGGGCGGGCTTAGCACGCAGCGCCAGCCTCGAAGGCACTGGGAGGCACTGGCCACGTCTGGGGTTCTGGTGCGGGTCTGACATGCTGGGAATGTGGGCTCAGTGAATGCCAGGTTTTTTTTTTAAGTATAGTTGATTTATAGTATTATATTAATTTTAGGTGTAATCTTTCTGATACAGATTTTTATGCGCGATCTCCCAACATGAGTGTGTCAGACACATTTTTTTCATTCCTGCATAGAGCAGGAGCACCATCGCAGCTCACTGGCCGCAGTTGAGGCCTCGGGACATAGAGCTCCATCACCAGCTGTACCTTCTTCTCCCCAGATGGTCATCTTGGTGGCCTTTGACCCCTGGGAGGCCTGCAGTCCTGGAAGCCTTACCCAGGAGCATGTGATGGGTCCTCAGAGCGTGGGCAGGACCCCTGTGGCCCAGGTGGAAGGTGCCGAGTAACAGGGTGGCCACAGGGTTCCCAGGAAACAGACCCACATTTCATTGAGTCTGAGATCCTGTCCTTTGTGAGATGCGCCATTATTTTATGCACTACCGAGAAAAAAACGCTGCCAATTATAAAGGCAGGATGCCACTGATTTAAGGAATGTCCCAGTTCCAAAAATGTTACGATGTTAAAAAGTGAACATTTTAGGTTTGAGGAGAAGTAGAGTGTCTTGTCTGCAAGGCCTTGACGGTTCAGTGGTAGAACTCTTGCCTCCCACGAGGGAGATGCAAGTTCAATCCCCAGCCAAAGTATGTACTTCGAACTTCCCAGGTGGTGCTAGTGGTAAACAACCCACTTGCCAATGCAGGAGACGTTGGCGACTTGGGTTTGATCCCTGGGTCAGGACGATCTCCTGGAGGAGGGCATGGCATCCCACGCCAGTGTTCTTGCCTGGAGAATCCCACGGACAGAGGAGCTTGGCGGGCTAAGTCCACAGGTCGCAGAGTCGGACACAGCTGAAGCGACTTAGCACAAGAGGCACAGAGTATCTCATCCGTGGTGATAAGCACAGAGGTGGCGGCCAGCCCAGCAGTGAAGGACAGAGACCACATCAGCTCCCTTGCTAAAAAATTAACCTGCCCCTTACACTAGTGATGACAAATCTGGGCTGGAGACCCCATTTTTATTTTCACCAGAGACAGACTATACAGGAACCTAGACAGTGCTTCAAACAGTAACAGGGGACAGCACAGAAGGTGAGGTTCCCTCTGGCTCCCGACCCAGCCCCTCAAGGCGAGGCCCGGAGCACAGCACGACCTTCGGAGGTCAGGCACCTATACGCAAGCCGTGACCCGCTCCCCATCTCCCTCCCTGTGTTTGCTTTACTTTTTCCCCGGTTAGCATAACTGGGCGCGTGGCCTCCACCCCGCTCTTCCCCCAGACACATCTTTCACCAGCAGGGCCTTTCAAGGCCCCTGGACAGCTGCTGAGCGCCCAGTACACCGCGTGCCACCCCGGGACCAGGGCCTCACTGGAGACCTGAGCTCATCCCCGACGTTTGCCCGGCCCAGCAGCCTCAGCGCAGCGGTGAGCGGCGCCCCGCCGAGGGGATGCCCAGGACCAGACTTCTCCGGCCAAGGACCGGGGCAGTTTTAATCTTGTCATTTTCAAACTGCCTCCAAACAAAGAAGTTCCAAACTCGCCTTCCCACCAACAGCGCAAGATGGTTCCTTCCATTCTCTTCCCTCTATCCGCGCTCAGAAGTCCTTGCCCGCCCATCCTTGAGCTGAATCGTGCTATTTCATGGCTTCTGGTGCATTTCCTCATGTGTGACGCTGAGTACCTTTTCTCAAGCTGAGAGGCCCTTTTATCCCTCTCAATTACGTCATCTTTGTTCCTTTTCCCTCCCGATTTGTAAGAGTGCCTCACACACAGGCATCCTCGCCATCTGAGACAGTCATCTAAAGCATAAACAGATGGCTCTTGTGTGGCTCGGCGGCGGGGGCAGCCGATCGATGGGTGGCCGTCCTCATCAGCTACTGCGGGCCCTTGTGATGCAAGGAGCTCAGATCAGAAACCCTTCCCGGTGGTCTGCGGGGCATGTTTTCCGTCCCTCCTTGAGGCCTGTCTGCCTCAGGGTCGAGTGGGATGGAAGACAGGCAGGTGGCTGGCCCGGTGGCTTACAGACACCGCACGGGGCCGGGCTGGGTGACGCCGGCCTGCGTTCCGTGCTCTGACCCACCGCGCCCGGGGGCTTCAAGACGCGTATACCGTGCGCCAGCCCGCCGGCCCACCAGGTTGGCACTTCAGAAACCTCTTGCTTCCCCAAGCCAGTTCTCATGTCCCCACCCTCCGGCCCCAAGTGCCACCTCCCTGGGCTCTCCGCCCATCACCCCCAGGCGAAACACAGCCACCTCACGCCTGTTTGGTGCCCCGGCCTCGGACTCCCTTCCTCGTCTCCACGGGGCAGGCTCCCACCACAAGCAGCACGGGAACGCGCCCCGGAGAGAGCCCGGGCCCCTCTAGATCAGCCACTCCGGGCTGGCTGTCCTCATTAGCCGATGCTGTTCTGTTCCTGGCAAGTATTCACACCTAACGAGCTGACTTACTGGGTTACTGACTCCTCCTTCCCTCTCAGGAAACGCATCATGCAGGTGGGTGCTCACCTGGCTCATCCCCATCCCTGCCTCCAGCGCCGAAAGCGGTCCCCGGGACACCCTGAGGTTCCTGCGAGCTCAGGAAGCCTTCTCCAGAGCGGAGCCTCGCCTTCCTCTCCAGGCCCAGGGCAGTGCCGCCGAGAACGTGAGGAGCTGTGGGCGAACTGGGCCGGCGAACAGAGGGACCGGCCCAGTGAGGAGTTTGCCGACTCCAGGTAAAGCTGGTGAAGACACGGGGGGTGAGCAGAGGAGAGGCCCGCGTGTCAGCTCTCTCTCCCCAGATCTCAGCACACAACCTGGAGTCTCAGCACACAACCAGTCCACCTATGGCTGTGTGGCTCTGGGCAGAGCCCTTGGCCTCTCTGTATCCTCCTCACGGGACCGTGCTAAGCATTACGTAACGTTTTACGTGCCGTGAGAAGTTCACGGTCCTCAGCACACGACAAGCCCTGTAAGCCACTGTGAAATCACCCTGTTGCCCCAGAGACAAACTCTCCAGGTCTGCAGGCCCCAGGGCTCCAGGTTGGGGCTCGGGGCCGCGCCCCCGCTCTGGGCCAGCAGAGGGCGCTCGCGAGCTGCAGACGGCCGCCTGGAGGGCGGGGCAGGAAGGACCACTTCCCAGCGGCCTCGCAGGCATCTGGGCGCGTGCATTTGGCGCGCATCCACCCCCAGCCCCACACCTGGAGGACCAGCGCACCTGCGCTACCAGCCCACTGTTACTGAGGACGAGCCTAGGAACCAGAAGGCGTGCCCAAGGCCGCCCAGCCCGGGTGTTCGCGGTGGGGTCCTGCAGCGATGCCAAGGCGGCCTCTGGCTTCAGGGGTCACAAACTCAAAGGCTTCAAGGGGCTGATGTTACAAGCTGGGAAACTGACCTCTTGCCTTTGGAATGAGAGCTCGGGATGGCCGTCTTTTCGTCTTTTGAGAAAGAAGCCAGACATCAAGATTTAGTAAAATATCTCAGCTTTCATGGTGTCAATGGATTAAAGGCTTTTAACATTTTAATCACCTTACCACCTCTGAGCTACCTTTCAACCCTCCCTTGGAGAAAGGCATTTTGGGACAAAACCGTGTTTCCCCCTGTCTTCAGCAGCCCACCCTCTCCCCCGCCCTCAGGCCTCAGATTACAGGTCACCCCTCCCCCTGGGTTAGGAGCCAAACCCCATCCCTGCTTTCACTCATTGGGTTGTGCATCCATTTGTTCAACAAACATTGATTGAGCTCGTTCTCCGTATGGGAGTCACAGCAGAGGACGAAGCAGACTAAAATCCGCCGCCTTTGGAGCTGAGGGTGGAATCGAGACAAAACAGACGGCGTGAATTTACAAAGTCGTTTCAAAGTAGTAAGCACATACCTGAAACACCCCAGCAAGAGAACAAGATGGGAAGGCCACCCTGGACAGCAAGGGCCTTTCTGCGGAGGTAACTTCTTCAAGTGCGTGGAAGAAGCTCCATGCCCAGAACTCGGCAGGGAGGACAGTTCTGAGTGAAGAGAAGCACAGAGCAAAGGCCCTGGGGTGGGAAGAGGCATGTCACGTGGTCAGGGAAGCGTTCTCGTGCCTGGCACACAGCAGGCACTCTGCGATGGATCAGTGGGCACACGGGTGTGCCGCACCACGCCCCGGGCTGGGCACCGGGGAGGCAATGCTTGATGAGTGAGTGGATGAACAGACCCAGGATTTGCCCGAATCCAGCTGCTTCTGCTCTGGTTTCAGCGTCTCCCGCACTCCGGCCTCACATTCAGCCTGGCTGGGAATTGTCCAGGCCCATCTCTGGCTGCAGAGACCCTGTGCAGTCCCAGATGTCCTTTCCCAATCTGGCTTGGGCCCCCTTTTCTGCGGCCTACAAACTGTCCAGAGTCCACGTGGCTTGTCCAGGAGTGGGGGGTGGGGAGGGAAATGAGCTGGTATCTGACTTCCCTGGGTCGAGTTTTGGCAGGAGGTTCCGGGAACATCAGGCCTGTCCCCAGAGGAAGACAGTGATGTGGGGGCTAGAGAAGCCCCCACCCCACCTTTGCCCTGGGCTGGGGTCCAGCCTAGATGAAATGCGGTCTTTCGGCCATCCAGTCATGAGCAGCACACAGAGAATGGACATCTGTCTGTCTGTCTGTCTGACTTGCTCATTTGACAGCTACGTGAAGGTCTTCGAAGGTCTCCTTTGTGGCAGGCACAGGGAATGCAGAAATGGACAGAAAAGTCTCTGCTGTCATTCCAGCTATGGGAGACAGAGAGTAAAGAAATGATGAATCAACAAGATGGTCTCACAAGTGCATCAGGGCAATGAGAACAGGACTGTGAGGGAATCCCCCGGTGGGCCGGCAGTTGAGAACCCACCTGCAATGCAGGGGACGCGGGTTGGATCCCTGGCGTGGGAGGAGCCCGCATGCCATGGGGCAGTTAAGCCCGGGCGCCAGAGCTGGGGCTCCGCCACGAGAAAAGCCACCCCAGTGAGCAGCCTGCACCCTGCAACTAGAGAGCAGCCTCTGCTTGCTGCAATTAGAGAAAGCCCGGGCACAGCAGCCAAGACCCGGCACAGCCAAAAATAAATAATTTTTTTAGAAAAAAAAGAACAGTACAGTGAGCTGACGTGGTCAAAAGGAGGAAGGGTGGGAACTGCTTTACATGGGTGGTCAGAGACGACCTCTAAGGAATGACATCTGAGCTGAGTGCTCACTGGAGAAAGAGTGGGTAGTGGGAACAGCAGGTGCAAAGGTCCTGAGGCAGGCGTAAGCTTGGTGGGACCGAGGGGCAGCAAGGAAGTCGGTGCAGCTGGAACCGAGTATGCGAGGGTATTGGTGGTAGGAGTGAGCAGTGGGATGGAGGCAGCCCCCCAGGCCCTTGAGGACTGCTGTGGCAGGAAGAGTGAGCATGCTCACCTCATGAGGTGACGTGAGGGTTAAACGGGACAGTGCAAGAAAGTGGCTGAACCACAATGTGAGCTGTTATTATGCTGTGACTACCAATCACCATCATCGCCCTGGGCCTGGGCCTTGGGACCTTCCCAAGGAAGGCTGTCATCCGTGGCTTGTAGCATACGGGTCCCCTGTGTTGGCCCCATTGCCCCCACCAGGGCCTGGGGGATGGAATGAACACAACCGGGCACGAGGTGAGGCTCAGCCAGCTCCAGGGGCAGGAGGGGCCTCCCTGAGGGTCACCCCAGCCTAGAGCAGAGGTCTCCCCTCCCGACATGCTGTACCCTGCCGCCACGCCCCAGCCACGCACAGTCTGGGGGCCTCTGCACCGGCCCAGTCCACACCCTGTCCCCTCGGGCCACCCTGAGCTGATGATTCGACCTTCTGAGCCTCGGGCGGGGCCCACTTACCCAGACCAGTCCTGCCCCCGCCTTCAGCCGCCCCCCCCCTGCTGCCTCCCTGCCCCCAGGCCGTGGGTTCTTGGGAACGCAATTATTTTTCTTCCCAGATAATTCAGTCCAGAAGACAGGGCCGGCCACTTCCGGC